TGCTCCAGGGCTTTTGCCTGGAATTGAAACTCAGCTGGTCATCAGGCCTGTCTCCTCCCCCACCCTGTCAGCTTCCTCCTCTTCTCTGTGACAGTCATTGAGAGCTGTTCCAGCAGAGGGTAAAGGGAGGGGAGTGATGGACCTTTCTTTCCTGGAGTTAAAGTGGGTGGGGAGGGGCTATGACCCAAGTGACTAGATCTGCTCTTTCAGGCAAGGCTTGATCTAGGGACTCTCTTGTGCTGCCTTCTGACTGCGCTGCCTCTGGACAGAGACCACCTGCAGGCGGTGGGTAAGAGCACTGCCCCTGGGCTGGATTCCCAGGCTGACTGGGGGCAGTTCCTCAATCAAGTCCTGCCTCTGTCTTCCCGTTTCTAAAGTGAAGATAATGAAAGTCCCTGCTTCATAGGGCTTGGGGGATGAATAAACATGCTCTCTATATAAAGTTCTTTGAACAGGGTGGCACAAGGGCTATGTTCTATGGAGTGTGAAGTTTATACGTATTTACAAAGACACAAAATTAAGTACAAATGTGAATATTTATTTAAAACAATTAAAGAAATCACGAAAATAAAAATTTTTAAAGATTGACAAATTCAAAAAATCACAGAATTTTTTTTAATACCATGATATTTGTATTAATCAACTGCAGGCTGCGCCTCAACCCCCTCCCCTTCATTGTTTGCTTACATAATCCTTGATCGCCTCTTTATTCATCACCAATTTTATAATATCATTTTCTTTAGTGCAAATAGATTGCAATCTTTCCTCTAGTCTGGTTGATTGAAAAAAAAATTTTAAATTATTGGTAGTTAACAATGGTTAATTATTGGCAGTTTCTTTCCGCTTCACAACTCTTCATCGGTAATATCATATAAAACTTCAGGATTATTAGCGGATTTGGGAAAACTCTGATTTACTCACTACGGTCATGTAACAAATCACTCCAAATGTAATGGCATACAACAGCAGCCACTCCGTGAGGCTCACAGATTCTGTGGGTCAGAAATTCAGGAAGGACACAGACTGGCAGTGATTCAGCCACTTGGGCTGGAATCACCTGCAGGCTCTTTGGTCCACCCATCTGGATCCTGGGCTGGGGGCCTGAGGCTCGGACAGCTGACGCAGCGCCGCCTAGTGGCCTGTCTGTGCAGCGTGGCTTTTCCACAGCATGGCAGCCCCAGGGGGGTGGATGTCTTACTTGGTAGCTCAGAGCTCTAGGAGGGAGTGTTCCAGCCACTAAGGAGAAAGCTGCATCGCCTTATGATCTAACCCAAGGGGTCAAGCAGTGTCACTTTCCTCACATCCTGTAAGTTAGAGACAATCCCAAGCCCACCAGATTCAAGAGGAGGGGACTTGGCTTCCACCTCTGCACGGGCAAGTGGCCGGTGCTAGAAGGGCATGGACAGGAGATATTGCTGCAACCATTTTTGGAAAATAAAATCTGCCACAACTTCTATCAAGTTTCTCTCATATATGAGCTATTGTAGGTGTTGTGCTAGGTAATGTAGTACAGGAATTATGAGAAATTCTATTTCCTGAAATTACCATCAAATAAAAGAAAACATACATCCAAGGCATGTTTGAAGACACCCTTTTCAGGAGAGGACTTCTGTTTTGATCAAGTGTCAATGAAAACAAAATCTTCCACTTGCAATTTTATGTCTGATTGTATGAATTTTCCACAGACTGGTTTCTGGCTCTGTATATTTCAGACCTTGTTTCTCTTCCTCTACCCAATTCTTCTGACATCAAAGGACACATCCACACCACAGTGCAACCCCTGGCCTTGTACCTTTGTGTCACAATGCCAGGCGAGTTGGCACGGAGTATTTTTGGAAACTATTCCTAAACCACATGTCTAGCAATAATTTCAGTATGCATGAAACTGACTGAAAACCATATAAATATATCTCACGAAACTGAAATTAAATGTATCTCTAACTCAAATTCTCCTTAATCAGATCCTAAAAATATCCACAGCGACATCAATGCTAACAGAGATGTAGGAGTGGGAAGACAGAGGTCTTGACCAGTTGTGGGTAAAATAGTTTACATTGGCAAATTTTACCAAACGTATGAACCTATTGCTATCACAAGAACCTATTGCTAGGGCTCCTTTTGGAGCCTTGGAAGGGCATGTGCAAGAGGAAGTCCCAGCTTAAGCATCAGCAGCTTCCCAATAAACCCACCTCTGCCGGGCACACAGTAAGTATTACATAAGGGTTTATTATTATTGCCTCCATTTTCTGACAGGTTTTCCTCTGGTGGTAGCAAGATGGCTGTGCTCAGCAGCCCCAGCTTCATATCCTCCCAAGTTCTGGCCCAGCAGGAAAGACAAAGTGTCTCTTCTAGAACTTCATGCACCAGAGTTTACTTGCACCAGCTGGGGTCATGAGTCTAATGAACCAAACCCCACAGTGGTCGGGGGATTCCACGAGCTGATAGCCAGCCTCGGCCACACGCTGCATTCCCACAGCTGGAGGTGGGGTTGACACCACTCAAACCAGGGGGGGCAGAGGATGGGGGAGGGCTGGAGGAATTCAAAGAAATTAGGAGATATAAATGCCAAACAAAAAAATAGTTGTTCATTTACTGTAAGCATACAGCAAACTTTGAGAAGAGAGCGGTAGGACGGAAGCCCGGCAAGGGGAGAGGGGTGACAGATGGGAAACATGCGTGCCCAAGACCTCCTCGGCAGCCTGTGTCAGGTCTGCTCTGATGGGCCCTGCAGGCACGTCCCTCTCTTGAGGACCCCAGTGGCCTGGGTGAGCAACATGTGGCCTCTGCCCAGCCCAGCTGTGCTGCTGGCCCCGTGCCAGACCGGCTGCCTCCACATGTCCTCTGCCTGTCTTCTGTCTTCCCATCCTGGCCTTCGTCCTTCTGGGCCTGCTCCCTACCCACAGCCCTTGAGGGCTCAGTGGGGATATCTTCAAGACTTCAGCCAGTGATCGTGCTTCCCTGCCCTTGGTCCCTCCACCTTCCCACCTTGGGTCTCGACCAAGTAAAGCTGTAAGTCTTGGCACATAATTCCCAGGACATTGCTACGGGAGGATCCTAAATACTCCCTCTCATCCATGCAGAACCCCGTGGCCCTCCTGTAGTGGAGTGGCCAAGTCTGATGCACTGAGCAGTGGTTTTCAATCTTTTTATAGTCATAAAACTTTTTCGGATCTGCTGGAAACCGCAGACCTGAGTGCACCCTGCAGTGAGGCAGCCTCTAGCCACGTGCGGCAGCGGGACTCCAGAAATGTGGCTAGTCTGAACTGAGGAGTGCTGCACGCGGAAAACAGTGATTTTGAAGGCTCCGTATAGAAAAAAGTAAAATATCTCCTTAAAAATTTTATACGTCGATTGCATGTTGAATTGATAATACCTTGGATTATCGGGTTAAATAAAATACATTATTGAAGTATTTCAGCTGTATCTTTTTACTTCTTTTAATATGGCTCCTAGAAAGTTCAGTGTGGCACCCGTGGCTCCCATGACATTCCTGTGGGCCAGCCCTGCTCTGGGCCCCTTTTCCAGAAATGCTCACATGCATACGTAACCACGTAATGTTGCATGTGATTTCAGGGACTGTGGGAAGTACCCTAAATCCCATCCATGGCCCCGAGCCCCAAATTAAGAATCTCCGAGTCAGGAATCTCATGGTTTCCTCCAGGGCCGGCATGTACCACACCATCACTGTGCAGATGGGGAACTGAGCGCCGAGCCCTCCCCACTGTACGGTCAGCCGTCCTCGGGCGGTGTGGGGACCTGGCCCTCCCAGTCTTGTGTGGAGGGCTGGGGTCACCTCCTGAAGCCTAGGATTGGACTCTGTACCGAAAGCCCAGGCCCCCTCCCCAGAACAGGGAAGCCAGTACAGAGCGTCCAATCCTAGGCTCTGCCAGGTACCAGCTGGGTGACTTTCTACCTTGCTTCATCTGTGACCCACTTGGAGTAAGTTGTTAGTAGTTTCCTACATCGTACATTTACTTTTTCATTAGATTTTATATCTGGTTCATGCAAATGAGAAGTAGTTCTCATTCAATTAATTTTCACTCATTCATAGACCATTATTAGTTTTGTTTTGGCTGGTTCTGTAATAAAATATTTTACATCCATTTGTAGTAATTCAGCATTAATTCAGTTTCATTTGTCTTGAAAAACAAATCATTAAAAAAAGAAAAATAATTACTGTTCAATTATATACTACATTGACGATAAAATGACCGACTTCGTGTCATTTTAGGAAAGCATTTAGTGCCAAGTGCACACTGAATACTTTAAACAGTTAGGTGGCTTCGCAAAGTTTTCTTCTGGAATTTTCATAACCTGAGAGTTTCCTGATTGGTCTCTTTTACCTTTATTATAAAGTCGAACAGAAATTTCCTAAGGTCTTGGGACCGGCTGACCAGAGGTGAGGGAGCTGTGACTAGTGGCGTTCAGACCCCCGGCAGCTCTCTGGAGTCGGCTCAGGGGCAGGCGAGGAGCAAGCTCTAGCCAGGATCTGCCACCACGATTGCTCTTACTGCTGTTACCTGGACTCCTGGCTGCATGGAGCCGGGCTCAGGGGCTCCGCCGCCTCCCCCAGAGGCTGGCCTTGCCTAGGCAGGGCTGGGCTGCCAGGGTTTCCTCTGCTCTGCTCCCACCACGCCCTCTGCCCTCAGCCTCAGCACCAGCTTCCTTCCACTGCTCCCAGGACTTGTCTCCCTCCTCCTGGCTGCATCTTCTGTCCTGACATTCCAGAGCTGGAAGAGGTGCTCCACCTACGGGTCCTGGAGTCCTGCCAGAGGTTTCTGGAGATGCTGGTTGACCCAGGCTCTTGGGGAAGAGGGGAAGGTGCTGAGCTGAAGGAGAAACCTGGGGGTGGAGCCCCAACCTGTTTATAGGATCGTGGGCTCCTGGGAGGCTGGTGGATTCAAGGCCAGTCCCATCGCATTGGGACAGTTGCTACCATCCAGCTAGAGAGCTGGTGCGTTGGCAAGGGCTGGGCCTGAAGTGGAGCCAGAAGGATTGGCATGGAGAGCGTGTCACCTGGGGGACCACCTGACCATCCTCAGCAGGTAACAGTGTCTGCCAAGTCTGGGGTCACCAGTCAGGGCCGGGCCTGGGGCTGGGGTGCACTCTGAGAAGCTTGACGCAGCTGAAATCAGCGTGATTCTGGTCTCTGCCTGGGCTGAGGCAGAGGGTGAGGGGGTCTGGGCCTGGGGCTGCAGAGTGGGTGGGATGTGTGAGTGGCATCTGGAGAAGTGAGGCCTGGGGACAAGAGTCTGGTCAGCAGAGCCTCCCCTCTCCACCACAAGTGACCAACAGCAGCACCCTCAGGGACCCTCCTTCCTCCTCCAAAGGCTCACGTCCCACATCAGAGAACATGGTGGCTGCGTGACAGAGAAGGGGACCCAGCAGGCCACAGCCACCACACACCAGTGGACTTCCTGGAATTGGCTGGAACCCTGGGGTCACCCTATGCGTCTCAGGGGCTCTGGGGCCCAAATCCCCATCCCTGCCAATTCTTTGCTGGGCCCAAGAGCTATGAGGCTGCGCCCAAGCCAAGGAGGTCTACGAACTGCTCACTCTCCCAGCCACGTTTTCCCCTCAGTCCAGATTTCTCATCCTTTGCCAGAGACCAAGGCCAGTGGGACTGGCTCCTCAGGTCTCCTCTGGTGCCCCAGATGGTAGCCAGGAGGGGGCTAAGTATGCCGAGGTCCTTTGCCTCATTCACAGACCGTGTCAGGCTCTGGAGCCTCGGCCCTGAGAGCCAGGCCGGCGCTGGATCTGGACAGGCACCTCCAGACTGTGCTCCTGGAAGAGACCTGGCCTGGGGCAGGCCAGACTCCAAGGATTCCTGGGGGAAGATAGAGAGGGACCGCCTGCATTGAAGGACAGTATCTCGTACCCCAGCCTGAGGTTGGGAGGACCCACCCCCAAGTCAGACATCAGTGGAAAGTTGAGTCTGGGAGGAACCCAGGGCTACAGGGCATGGAGGGATGGACAGCCTTGGCCACATTGTCCCCTCCCCACCCCCAAATCAGAAGCCCTGAGCCCCAGAACAGCCCCCTGTGGAGGTTTCTGAAATACCCCCTTCAAGCTCATCTCCCTGGCAAATGCTATGCGCCCTTCCCTTCCCCCCTCAGCCTGCTCTAGGGCCGGCCCCAGGGGTAAAATTAAAGCCCACATTTCAGTGATTTGGGAGCTTGAGTCTGCTCCACACCTGGGAAGCTCCTCCCTCGCCGGCATTCCCAGGACGGAGTCCTCAAGACCGGGTCCTCGACCCCCAGCCTTCAGGTGGGTTCCTGTGGTAGGCAAGCCTCCTTCCTGGGGGAACAGAGGCCTGGAGCCTGCCCTGGAGCAAGAGCGGGACAGGCAGGGCAGGCCGGGCATCCAGAACCTGTTCTGGGACGTGCCTGCCGTGTGGTCCAGGAGCATCAGCCCAGCTGACTCAAGGAGGGGCAGGGCCCAAGGCCATGCCTGGGCTTCCACTCCTTCTCTCTCCAGCCTCCCCACTGCCCCACCATGGGTCACGGGGTGCCAGGGGCCAAGGGCAGGCCGGCTCCTTTCCCTCTTCCTTCCAAAGCCCCAGGATCATGATCACAGATACTCTGGACCCCAGTCTGGGGTCTCAGCCCCCTCAAGCTCCCTTGGGCCACATCCCTAGAGACAGGCAGGGGCCAGCACTGAGCCTCTCACAGAACTTCCTGGGCCCTGGGCCTCTCCACCAGGAGGAGGATGGCAAAGGCTCTGGGGTCCCTGCTCAGGGCTGGGGGAGAGTGGCTGAGACCCTCAGGAGGGAGGCACTTCTAGGATCCCACAGCAGCTAGGCCGGAAACCCCTCCAGATGCATCCGGGGTCAGTCATGAATGAGGGCAATAGTTTGGATGGGAGGGTACCTCGAAAGGAAGCCCCAGTGCCCTCAGGAGAAAAGAATCCCATTAGTTAATATATTGGTCACTAGTCATATGTCAAAAACAAATCTGTGGAATTCCAGTGTCTAGACATCCATGGGCAGTAGGGGGAAAGTTTGATGCTTTTACAAAGAAGCAAAGTCCCAGGAAGGTTGAAGAGTAGAATAGCATAGGGGTTGTGAGCTCTGCCCTGGAGTTTGAATTCTAACTCTGTCACCTGCTAACTGTGACCTGGGGCAAGTTAACCTTTCTGAGCCTCAATTGCCTCATCTGTAAAATGGGAGGAGGTGAGAGTCTGTCTCATGAGGCCATGAGAGTATCCATCAAGTTAGAATATGGAATGTGCTCAGTACAGCACTGTCAGTCTAAAGAAAGACACCAGAGAAAATTCTCTCTAGATATGTTGAGTTTACTCTGGAATGAGGGATGAGGATTGTAACCTAGAACGTAGAATGGCAGACCACCAGCGCGTCTGGCGAGGGGAGGGTAAAGGGAAGCTTGTATTAGCAAAAAGGGAGAGGTTCACATAAGCTGCTTAGAAAGAGAGGTCATTGGTCCCAGAGGCTCAAAGCTCAAGTTGTCAGCTCATTGGTGGAGATGCAGTTACTGGGCAAGTGGTTTTCCTTTGAGAGCATCTTATCTGAATTACTGCCGTCCTGGAGGATGTCTAGTGATAAGCCTTGTCAGAGCAGGTGTGTGAAGGATGTGAAATGGTTTTCTGTAGGGTTTTTAGAAAATCCTTGGAAACAGTTCTCATCTCAGACACGTAAGCATGAGCCTCATCTCTTTTGTGTCTTCCTGGCCCTACTTCATCTGGGTCTGACAAAAGTGATTTCATCCTGGTATCGGCAACTTTTACAGTTCCTAGGAACATAAAAAGCACTTAATAAATAGCAATAAGAGTAATTACCTAGCCTGTAATCCTAGCTCTCTGGGAGGCCAAGGCGGGAGGATTGTTTGAGCTCAGGAGTTCGAAACCAGCCTGAGCAAGAGCGAGACCCGTCTCTACTAAAAAGAGAAAGAAATTAATTGGACAACTAAAAATATATAGAAAAAACTAGCCGGGCATGGTGGCGCATGCCTGTAGTCCCAGCTACTTGGGAAGCTGAGGCAGAAGGATCACTTGAGCCCAGGAGTTTGAGGTTGCTGTGAGCTAGGATGACGCCACGGCACTCTAGCCCGGGCAAAAGAGTGAGACTCTGTCTCCAAAAAAAAAAAAAAGAGTAATTACCTAGAAACTGCTTATTTTTCTTCCTAAGAATTCTTCTGAGAATTCTATAGGTATTAACATTTTTAGCCTCAGATTACCCTGTGAAGTCCACACTCTTATTATCCCCACTAGAGATGAGGAAACAGAGGCACAGAGAAGTTTAGTGACTTGTCCAGGGTCACACAGCAAGTAACTGACAGGACCAGAGTTTAAATCCAGACAACCTGGCTCCAGAGTCTGCCTTTAACTCTCCATAAAGACAAGTCATTGTAATTATTGTCACAATAATACAATGCTCTAGGTGCTCTATGTTAGTGATGGTCTTAGAGGTGAAGAGAATTGGGATTTCACCCTGGGAAAAATAACCTGCCAGGGAATGGTGGGCTTTCGGAGGTTGAGAAGCTCTCAGTGGCGGGAGGGAGAAATGAACAGCAGTCCTCAAACTGGGGACGGTGACTGGCTAGAATGCGAGCAATTGGGGACACTTCTTAGCAGCCCCAAGTGGCTTCGGAGCAGCCCATAGGCTGTGGACGTGTGGAGCCTTGGTCTGGCCAACGAGCAGGAGAGGAAGGCCAGGCTGCTTCTGCCCTTCCCCTGTCTTGCAGTGGGGCAGTTAAACTCGGCACCCTGCAGGCCCCAGCATCCCAGACACCAGCTTCCCTGGGCAGGCTGTGGAGGAATCTGGGTGCAGGGAGGAAATGGAGCCAGGTGTCTAAAAATGCCTTAAGTTCCTGCCAGTTACAACCTCCGGCTTGAGATCTATAGAGTAGAAATGTTGCTGGTGTCACTGGCGTTAATCCCCGAGAAGAAAGAAACAAGCTACCTCACTGGGGGAGAGCTCGTGTGCTCTGCTGGGGAGCTGACTGGAAAGACAGGGACACTCAGCACGGAGCCACAGGAGAGGGAAGATGCTGAGTGGGGCCGTGAGTCACAGGTGGCTTTACTGTGGCCTGTCGTCCTTTATGGTTCTTTGTGGGGAGTGCGTCCCCATGGGCGCTGGGCTGGCCCCCAGCAGGCAGCACCTGTGCAGAGCGGAGACCAACCAGTTCCTTGCGAGCGCTGAGACTTTCTGACCACATGCATGGCGTGCGTGGGTCTGGTCGCGGGAGGGCGCAGTGCAGGAAAGAGCTTGTTCCCACGCCACTGTCTCCCAACCACGCGATGCCTGCCCAGCGTCCACCATGCAAGCCCCGTGCTGCCTCTGCTCCCTCAGGGTGGGGGCAGAGGGGTGGAGGGGCAGTAAGGGGCCCACGAGGCCGGACTGACTTGGTGTGGTCTAAGCTGGTGCAGAGCCCATTGAGTGGCAGAAGCTCCAGCACAGACTTTTCCTGGCATGGGGATCTTCTATGGGCTCTTCACCAGGCCCGCCACACTGCACGTCTACAGGGGTAGCATTTTACACCCCTCTGTGCGAGTGGTGCCCCTAGGGGACCTGCCACTCTGTGGCCCTGAAGAGTCCCCACCTGGGTGGGGGCTCCCACTACCTCATTCTGGTGCAGGCGATGCTCCCCCCCGTTCTGATGTCCCTCCCCTCCCACGCAGGCTCTGCCTGCTGGACCCATGGGCCCCACAGGGGTCTGCCCCCACAGCCTCCTATTCAGCATGACACAAGGCCAATGACCTTGGGGTCAGCCCAGAGAAAAAATGCCCTTTTGTCCTGCCAGACCCATTTGAGTGAGTTACCTCAGGTCTCAGGGGCTTATTCCAAGAAACCTGTGCAGGGTGCCCAGAGAGAGCCACAGAGCTGGGCCCCAGGAAGAACTGAAACCCGAGAACCCCCCTGGATCCCAGCAGTGCCAGAGACACCCTCCAGTGCCTTGTCCCCAATAGGACTCGGCCACGCCTCACCTGCCTCAGTTCTTCCTGCCACCTACTCTCCACTCGCTTGCTCATATCTCTGCCCTGGGAGCCTCTGCCCACTCAGCTTCCTCTCCTTGGTGGCTTGTCCTCCTGAGCATCTTACTCACAATGACCTTTCACCCACAGCACCCCCTGCTCCCTATAACGGGCTGAGGGTCTTGGAGTTTCCTCATCCACACCCCAGCCGTGCAGAAGGGCTGAGCTCCAGTGTAGTGCCTGTGGATGTCACAGACCCCTAGGCACCCCAGGGCTCAGCACCCCCTTGAGTCCTGCACCCACTTCCTGTCCGGTAGGGCTGGGGGCAGGGTGCTGGGCAGCAGGGCCCTGTGCTTCTCCAAAGGGCTGCCCTCCCTGGGAGCCCTGGGTGTGGCCGATGTCAGACTGACCAGCATGGTGGCCGCTCCCTGGCCTCAGTTCCTTGCTTTGTCTACTATGCTGTGCAATCCTGTCCCTAAAGGGGAGGGAGCCCTCAAATTTCTTCCCCGGGCGTCTGCCATCCCCTGATTGCTGTAGTCCAGAACCATGACCCCAAGGGCAGTGGCGGACAAAGGCTGCTTGGTCCCCAGAGCACGTCCCCAGAATCCCGGGCAGCACGGCAGTGTCACCAAGTTCTGGGAGACTGGTGAGGGCATGTCTGCAGCCAGGGGCTCCCAGAGCACAGCAGCTGTGGGCTTGGGTGAGGTGACAAGCCGCAGGGACTCGGTAGATTGATATTTCTCTCCAGGGGGAGGCCTCTGCCTGCTGGCGGCTCACCGTAAGGGTCCTGGAGGCGCGGAACCTGCCCTGGGCGGACCTGAGTGAGTAACGGTCTCCTGGGGCCCGGCGGGTGCAGGGAGGACAGAATCCCAGGAAGAGGCCCAGACAAGTGCCCTGGGGCTGGTCGGGGCCACCTGGGGTGGCCACCGGGGTCTGGGCAGGAAACTGGCGTGGCCGCTGGACAGGCGTGTGCGGAGTTCTCTCTCTGACGTTTTCTTGCCTTTGGCAGTGAGCGAGACAGACCCGTACGTGGTCCTGCGGCTGCCAACCGCACCGGGTATGACGTTTAAGACCAAAACAGTCACCGACTCCAGTCATCCTGTGTGGAACGAGACCTTCAGTTTCCTAGTCCACAGTCAGGTCAAGGTAAAGGCCAGGGCAGCCCTGGCCGCTCACTGCGAACAGGCCGTCCCCCCGCAGGGAGGGTGCTCCAGTGGAGCACACATCCTCCGGGACTCTGGCGGGGAAAGTCGGGAGGAGGGTGTCTTTTTGGCCCGGTCCTTGTGTGCTGTGTGTGAGAAAATGTGTGAATGAACGAACACGGTCCCTCTACCGCGGCTGCGGGGCCGACCTCCCGCTGTTCCTCGCTAAGCCCATCTATGAAACGGAGACAGTAAAAGTCCCCTCCTGACTGGGTCGTCGGCGGTTCAGTGAGACGATGCACTGAAGACAACGAGCACAGGGCCTGGCACGTCCCCAAGAGTGCGCCTCAGGGGACCAGCAAGGCCAGGGAGAGAAAGGGACAGAGACAGACAGATTTCTTAGACAGGATTTTATTTTTGATAAAAACAAAAATCAGGACGGGGAAATTAGGAACTTTGCTAGACTTTGTTATACTTCTTTCAAGTTGTACGGTTATTTTTATTTTGAAGTACAAAAGTGTGGAGGCATAAGACCCTTTTCTACACATCCAGTAAGTGTTCAACAGAGGTGAGCTATTATCGTTGCTATGAGTAGATAATGTGCCCAGTTGCTGTTCCTGGTCCCTAGAATGTTCTGGAGCTTAGTGTCTACGATGAGGACTCAGTCACGGAGGATGACATCTGCTTCAAGGTGCTCTATGACATCTCAGAAGTCCTCCCTGGCAAGCTGCTCCGGAAGACCTTCTCCCAGTGTCCCCAGGTGGGTGGGGAAGTCCCCGCAGGCTCCAGGCTGAGGAAGTTGCTTGGTTTGTCCCACCTGGTCGGATGCTGCTGGGTCTACTCATCCACAGGAAGACGGAAACCTCTCCCAGAGATATTCGCATTTTAATAAGAAAGGAGAAGGCTTAACTTTACAGTCACAGACTGAATCGCCCAATGGGGAATTTTAGTCATCTGTGGTGGGAAGGTTTTGGGAGGTGAACTTCCTAATGTCCCTCAAAAACCAACCCATGGGGCAGCTGCAGGGCCTGCCTTGTGAGGGTCTTGGCGCCCTCCCTGCTGCCTCCAGGGCCCGGGGGAGCGCAGAGTTCTAGGGGCTGTCCCCTCCTCAAGAGGAAGAAAAAAAGGGGTCGTGCGCATGCTCATACCTCCTTGGCTGTGCTCCTGGTCTTCCCCTCCAGCCCTGCCCAGAGTTCTGGGGCGCAGAGGGAGGGAGACCTGTTCTCTGCCAGCTTACTAGCTGTGGGTAGCACGGGCAGGCTGCCCGTCTGGCCCTGCACTCAGTTTCCTCAGCTGCGAATTGGGAATAATTGCACTAATGTGCCTCCTGGAGAGAGCGCTTGAGATGCTGAGATAATGTCTATAAAAGACTGCGTCACCTCCAGGGCCACATGTAAGTGTGGCTGACTTGCTCATTCTCTCGGGTTTCAGGGAGAGGAGGAGCTGGACGTGGAGTTCCTGATGGAGAAAACGTGAGTAACACCACACAGCCCAGGGCCCCAGGCTCTATTTGGGGAAATGCCCTGCCCCCAATCTCTCTGTGGTCAGCCCAGCCGGGATATGCTGTCCCTCTTCTCCCACCCTGCCAGATAGGCGGGCTGAGGTAGGGGTCCTCTTAGGGAAATGAGGACAGGGAGGCCGTGTTTCCTCTCCCTGCTCTCTCCCCTCACCTCTCCTCCTGCAGAAGCATCTCTCCTCCCCCTGAACCTTACCCAGGACTTACAGAGCCCTCAGCACCACCCAGAGAGACCCCACATGGGTGGCAGGGGACAGGCCAATGCAGAAAGCATTTGCTTTTGCAAGGCCTGACTCTGGATGGTTTGATTTTTCCAGCTCGGACCGCTCAGAAAACCTCATCACCAACAATGTCCTTGTGGTAACTGCCTTCCGCAGCCTAGGGGAGGGGCCCCTGGGCAGACACCTGGGGTGGAGGGGCAGCTGCCAGGATGTGGACCACAAAAGACAGGCAGGGGCAGGGCTCTGTGGGAAGCCCACCCCTGGGGCTCTGGGTGTTGGGGGGGCCTGGAGCCAAAGGGCACATGGAGAGAGGATGGGCAGGGCTCTGTTGAGAGGGTGTTCTGGCCCAAGGCTGGATGGCTGAAGGACCATGGGGGAACTTCAGGTACTTCCTGATGGTGTTTAGTCATATGTGACAAACTCAGTTCTCAGGGATTCACTCTGAGCTCTTCCCCAAAAGTGATGAAGAAATCATGCAGGCCGGGCCCACCTTCGGCTTGTTAATGCCGAGGTCCCCGAGGCTCAGAGGGAGGTTCTGGTGTGGTGTGCTTCCCATCTAGGAGACTGGGGGTGGGGCCTGAGGGTCAGCCAGCTCCTCCTTGGGACAGTGGAGCCTCGGGAGCCCAAGGCGGTGAGCCAGCGGTACATTAGAAGTTTCTACTCCAAGCGTGGCCCTCGGACCGGCAGCACAGGCACCACCTGGGAGCAGACCGGCCTGTGGTCCCACACAAAGACACCTGCAGCACAGAGTTTAAGGAGGTGCTCGTTCCCAGGGGCCTGCAAATGCCTGTTTGATGGGCTCATAGTACTTTTTAAAAATACACTTTAAAATAAAGTCATGCCTATGGCCCTGCCTCTTAGGAGGTGATGGAGACCAGCTTGGTGAATCCGGTGGTTCTATGGGGAGTGGGCAGCGGGCGTCAGCTGGCATGCGTCACAGACAGCGTGCAGGGGGCACACTTGGCAATCAGTTAAGTGGAGGACGATTAGGAGATACTCTAGTTGCTGCAGTTTTACCTGTTTCTGACACCTGTTCCATCATCCTGTAGACCACTGGTTTGCTTACACTATTTGGGAGTCGCTATAGTAGAATACATGCTCCAGGCCAAGGCCGCAGAGAAACATGGAGAAGAAGGAACCATGTCTGAGAGCTGGAGGGGGTGGGCTTTTGGGTATTCCAGAAGTTTTGCAAAGCCAGGAGAGCGGGGAGCGGGTGTGGAGCCAGGGCTCTCCTGGCTGCTTCGGAACATCGGGTTTAGCAGTCGCAGTGGGTGAGAGATGGATGAAGGGTTTCTGCGTTCAGTCCCATTCTGAACCCCACATCTTGTCCAGTGTGTGGTGGAATTGGGACAGTGGGGCACAGAGGGTTGAGGTTGAGGGGACCCCAGCTTACCCTGCAGAGCCCCCTGCCCATGATGTGGTCTGTCCCAGGCCCGAGAGCTGTCATGCCTGGACGTGCGTCTGGACCGCACGGGGAGCGCTGCCGTGGTCGCAGGTGAGACCTGCTCAGCACCAGGTCTGGCCCTGCTGGGAACGGGGGGTAGATGAGGGTTGCTGGGGAACCTGCATGGGGCAGGAGGCGAGCAGCAGGGTGGAGCTGGCCTCTCCCTTCTTGCCCACGCAGCACAGAGGGCCACATGTCTCCTCCAGGCAGGAGAGTCCCCTGACCTGGGGAGATCATGTCGCAGGAGGTGGGCTTCCATGGGGGTTGTGGGGCCCTGCGGGCCGGGAAGGCCCCTTTTCAGAATCCTGTTTATGATGGTGCAGCCTCCCGGGCCTCCTCCATGTCCATGCAGCACTGCTGGTTCTCCAGGACCACACTGGGGTCCAGGCTGTTTTCCTCCTCATGCTAACCTGCCCGCTTTCTCCCTAGATCAGGACAAGCCGGAGCTGGAGCTAGTGTTGAAGGGGTCATATGAGGACACACAGACATTGGCCCTGGGCACAGCCTCTGCCTTCTGCTTTCACTACATGGCGGCCCAAGAGACAGAGCTGATCGGGCACTTGAGGGTGGGTCTTGCCTCTAGACGTCTCCCACGAATCCCAGCCTTCGGTCAACTCCAGCCTCTGTGAGCTTCTCCCTGGCCTTCCCCCCACCCGGAAAGGCCAGGTCCCTTGTGGCCTTGTCAGCCTCTCCCAGTTGGGCACTGCACCCTCAGCACACAGGGAGATCACCAGGGTGCTGGGTGGGCAAGGGGACTGCTATGCCATGTCAGCCTTTGTTGGAGTCTTCCAGGGGATCTTCCGATGATGCCCTTAGAGTAAAACTGATGTCTGCGCCCACAGGCCCTGCACGGCCTGGCCCCTGCCCAACACTGCTGCCTCATTCTGTTCCACGCCCTGCCTCGTGCATGATGCTCCAGCCATACTTGTCTCCTATCGTTCTTTCTAACATGCCAAGTGCTTTCCCTGCCCTCGGCTGGCTCCTTCCACATCTCAGCTCAAATGGCACCTCTTCAGAGGAACCCTCCTTGCCCCTCACCTCAGAGAGACCCCACACACAGCCACCTGTGGTTACTCCATCATATCACACGGCTTAGTTCCTTCCCGGTGCTTAGTAACATCAGTCCATCACCTGTGTCTTTATAAATTCACAGGTGATTCAGTGAGAGCAATACCCGTGCACTAAATAAATATTAGCTCATATTATTTTCTAGTTATTAGTAATTGTAATTACATTAATTGTAAATATTGTAATTATTTTTATAGTATCAAGGAGGGAGTATGTGTATCTGGATTGCAGTCTAGATACTCAGGATCTGTGAAATGAATGAATGAGTAAATGAATGAATATTTCCCTCCAGAGCTCCACAAGCAATGTCTGGAACTGGAATAATTCAGCTTGGCACCTCACTGTGCCCCTGAGGTCCTTGGCTGTGGGGAAAGAGGTGACCATTGATGTTCCTGCTGCAAATGTAAGTGGCCTCAACTGCATGGCAAGTGCCAACAAGAATGAAGATGGGGGAGTCCAAGGCCCCAGGGGATACCATGTGCCCCTCAGGGTCTAGGACAATCTGAGCAGGGTCTCTTGCTTTGATTTCAGGCCCCAGGAGTGAGGCTGCAGCTCAAGGCAGAGAGCTGGTAGGGACATTTGTATCTGTGGGAGACAGTGAGAGGTGGTGATGGGGGAGAGGAGGGCTGTGGGAAAGGGTGGTCCTTGGGAGTGGAGCAGGGAGGTTACTTGGCAGCTTGTTGTGGGCTTGGCCAACTAGAGGCTGAGCTGTGCAGGTACCTTCTGACCCTTGGATCCTCCTCTGCCCCAGCCCCAAGGAGCTGGCTGTGCGGCTGGGCTTCGATCCGTGTGCGGAGGAGCAGGCCTTCCTGAGCAGGAGGAAGCAGGTGGTGGCTGCGGCCCTGAAGCAGGCCCTGCAGCTGGACAGAGACCTGCATGAGGACGAGGTCTGGGGGTGCAGTGGGGATGTGTGTGCAGACACTCTGGACTAGGTTTAAGAGCATACCTGATTCCTGTGCCTCTCCAGACATGCAGTCAGCAGAGAATGGAGAGTGGGTGTGTGGGGGGAGTTTTGGGGGTATGGGTAAGCTTTGGGATTCCCATTCCCTTTGGGGCTCTATCCTGGGCTGAGAGCTATCGCTTCCAGAATAGGCGCTGGACCCAGCTCTAACCCTGACTCCACCAGGCCCTGTCCACAATGTCCCTTCCCTGGAGGCAGGGAGCAGGATGAAGTCCTGTGTAAGGTGGGGAGCAGCTCGTCTCTGTCCTTGTTAAGCCAGCCTGTGTCTGTGTGCGGTCCAGGTCCCCGTTGTGGGCATTGTGGCCACAGGAGGAGGTGCCCGGGCCATGACCGCACTCTATGGCCACCTATTGGCCCTGCAGAAGCTGGGTCTTCTTGACTGTGTGACCTACTTCAGTGGCACCTCAGGCTCTACATGGTAAGGGGCCTGGGGCCTGGAGCAGCAGAGATGATCAGGGCCCAGGGGGTGGGGGTGAGCAGAGTGGACACTGGAGGGTCCCTCTATATGGGGAAGCTGAGTAGGTGGAAGCAATGGGGTCTGATGGGTGCCAAGCAGCTTTCTCACCAGGGGGAAACAGACAGTCATGCTGTGCGCAAGGCCATGCATGAGGTCCAGATGCTACTGAAGAGCTGTGAGGCAGCCAACTCAGAAGGAGCCAGGTTTGAGCTTGGCAAAACCACTTACTGGCTGGGTGACCTTGAGCAACCTATATCCTCTGATTCTCAGTTGACCCATCTCCAAAAAGGGCAATAATAGTACATACTCTATAGGTTTGGAGTGGCATAGCCCAAGTGAAACGCTTAACTAATGCCACACACAACCAGGAGCTCAAGATTGGTAGCTCTTTTTTTCCTTTCATCGTTATTACCTCATTTAATCCAACTTGGGCCTCCCGTAGTGTCAGGCATCATGCTAAGTGTTTTACTTGGGCGGTCTCACTCTTTGAGGCAGTTTCTCTTATTGTCCATATGGTACTGTATAGATCAGGAAATTGAGTTCAAGAGATGCTGTTTTACCTTAAGACGGTGTTGCCTCCCGTCACCCTCACCTTGCCTATAATGAGGTGGAACATTTTACTGTTAGAGATTCATTCCTCTGAGTCTTATCAAAACGTGACTTTAAGGAGTAAAAGAAGAGGAAATTTATCAGAGGAGTTTAGGTGACAGATGTTGACAAGCAGAGTCTTACAGGGCTTTAGGACAGGACCACAAAGATGGAAATAGGGTCCAGAAGTGGGCTGCCCAATACAGTAGCCACAAGCCCCATGTGGTTTTGGTTTTTGGGTTTTTTTGTGTTTTTTTTTTTTGAGACAGAGTCTCACTCTGTTGTTGCCTGGGCTAGAGTGCCATGGTGTCAGCCTAGCTCACAGCAACCTCAAACTCCTGGGCTCAAGTGATTCTCCTGCCTCAGCCTCCCGAATAGCTAGGACTACAGGCATGAGCCACCACGCCCAGCTAATTTCTTTCTATTTTTAGTAGAGACAGGGTCTTGCTCTTGCTCTTGCTCAGGCTGGTTTCGAACTTCTGAGCTCAAGCAATCCTCCTGCCTCAGCCTCCCAGAGTGCTAGGATTACAGGCATGAACCATGATGTCCAGCTACACATGTGGTTATTGACCACTTGAAATGTGGCTAGTCCACACTGAGATGTGTTATAAATATACTGTGAACTTTGAAGACTTAGTTTGAAAAATTACAAATTATGTCAGTAACTTTTACACTGATTACGTGTTGAAATGCTTTTTAGATACACGTTATTAAATTAAATTAAATATATTATTAAAATGAATTTTTACAGGTTTTTAATACTTTTTAAATGTAGTTACTAGGAAATTTAAAATTACATATGTGGCTCACATTATTTTAATATTGGGCAGTGCTGATCTAGGAGAGGAAGCTCTTTGACATACTTTCCAGATAGGCAGAGCCCTGGCAGCAGGAGCCACGCACTGGGAGAAGCTGGAGGGTGGGAAGGAGGAGTTGCCGTGCCCTATGCTGGGCCTTAGTCTCCTACTGTCCTGTTCTCTTATTCTCCCAGGACAATGGCCCACCTATACGGGGACCCTGAGTGGTCGCATGGGGACCTTGAGGGTCCCATCAGACATGTCCGGGAGCACCTTGCCAAGAGCAAACTGGAAGTCTTCTCCCCAGAGTGCCTGGCGGGCTACCGCCGGGAGCTGGAGCTGCAGGCTGAGCAGGGCCACCCCACGACCTTTGTGGACCTGTGGGCCCTGGTGCTGGAGTCCATTCTGCATGGCCAGGTAGGGTGCCTGCATGTGTGGGGCAGAGCTTATGTGAACCAGAGCGGGCAGGGGCACCCAAGCAGCTGACAGGCGCATGCACATTTCCTGCAGGGTGGAAGTCGCAGTGTTTTTATTGTCTGTTCGACTTTGGGACGCTGCCTTCCTGACAGGTAAGCTATTCTTAAATTAATCGTCATGAAACAGAAATTTCAGGATCTCCCAAGAGCTAGGGATCAGTCACTGTCAAAGTCAGTTAAGCAAACAAAGCTTTTGAGTTGAGTCAGTAAGATTGCTAGAACCGCTTGTATTTATATTGCCATGTGAAATGTATTGTTCTTCATCTTCAGGTGGTGTTAAAAGCACAGACTCTGCAGCCAGATTCCCTGGGTTCTAATCCCAGTACCTATTACTAGCTATGTGTCCTTAGGCAAGTTACTTAACTTCTCTGTGCCTCAGTTTTCTCATCTGTACAATGGGGATAAGAATAGTAATTTACCTCATAGGGTTGTTGTGAGCAGTCAGTGGTACTTTGCCATAGAGTAAGCACTAAGCGTTAGCTATTATATTTCTTTACTATTATTCTAACAATATCAAGGCAAAACTGAGTGTACAGATTTTTTATTATAATGCTCCTTTAAGGAAATCTTATTAAGTTAACTGCTGAATCTTATACTGACACAGTTATTAAAATTAGTGATTTTTTCACACTATTATTTTACCACATATGACTATCGGAACAAAGTTTCTATTTTTTTTTATTTTAGCATATTACAGGTGTACAAAAGTTTAGGTTACATGTATTTCCTGTGCCCCACCCAAGTCAGAGCTTCAAGCATGTCCATCCCCCAGACGGTGCACACCACACCCATTAGGTGTGAATATACTCATCCTTTCCTCCCCCTCCCACCTGCCAGACACCCAATGAATGTTATTACTATATGTACACATAAGTGTTGATCAGTTAATACTAATTTGATGGTGACTACACGTGGTGCTTGTTTTTCCGTTCTTGTGATACTTCACTTAGTAGAATGGGCTCCAGCTCTATCCAGGATAATACAAGAGGTGCTAATCACCATGATTTTTTGTGGCTGAGTAGAACTCCATGGTATACATATAACACATTTTATTAATCCACTCATGGATTGATGGGCACTTGGGTTGTTTCCACGTCTTGGCAACTGTGAATTGTGCTGTTATAAACATTCTAGTGCAGATGTCTTTTTTATAGAATGGTTTTGGTTTTTTTTTCCTTTGGGTAGATGCCCAGTAATAGGATTGCTGGGTCAAATGGTAGTTCTATTTGCAGCTCTTTGAGGTATCTCCAAATTACTTTCCACAGAGGTTGTACTAGTTTGCAGTCCCACCAGCAGTGTATGAGTGTTCCTATCTCTCTGCATCCACATCAACATTTATTGTTTTGAGACTTTTTGATAAAAGCCATTATCACTGGAGTTGTCATATCTCATTGTGGTTTTGATTTGCATTTCCCTGATGATTAGAGATGTCGAGCAGTTTTTCATATGTTTGTTAGCCATTAGTTTGTATTCTTTTGAAAAGTTTCTGTTCATGTCCTTTGCTCACTTTTTAATGGGGTTGTTTGATTTTTTTCTTGCTACTTTTCCTGAGTTCTATATAGATTCTAGTTATCAGTCCTTCATCGGATAAATAGCACACAAATATTTTCTCCCATCCTGTAGGTTGTCCATTTCCTCTCACCATAGTTTCCTTGGCTGTGCAGAAGCTTTTTAATTTGATCAGATCCCATTTATTTATTTTGGTTGTTGCTGTGATTGCTTTTGGGGTCTTCTTCATAAATTCTTTCCCTAGGCCAACACCTATAAGAGTTTTCCCAACATTTTCTTCTAGAATTCTTATAGTTTCATGCCTTAGGTTTAAGTGTGTTATCCACTGCAAATTGATTTTTGTGAGAGATGATAGGTGCGGATCCTGTTTCAGTCTTCTACATGTGGCTATCCAATTTTCCCAGCACTGTTTATTGAATAAGGATTCTTTTCCCCAGTGTATGTTTTAGTCTGCTTTGTCAAAGATTAGATGGCTATATGAGGATAATTTTATTTCTGGGTTCTCATTTCTGTCCCATTGGTCTATGTCTCTGTTCTTGTGCCAGTACCATACTGTTTTAGTTACTATGACCTTGTAGTATAGCTTGAAGTCTGGTAAATTGATGCCTCCTAATTTGTTCTTTTTGCTTAATATTGCTTTTGCTATATGGGGTCTTCTCTGGTTTCATATGAAGTGTAGAATTATTTTTTCTAGATCTGCAAAAAAATGATGTTGGTATTTTAATAGGGATTGCATTGAATCTGTAGATCACTTCGGGTAGTACAGACATTTTAATGATGTTGATTCTACTGACCCATGAGCATCGTATGGTTTTCCACCTGTTTATGTCCTCTGCTATTTCCTTCCTCAGTGCTTTGTAGTTCTCCTGTAGCGGTCTTTCACCTCCTTAGTTAAATATATTCCTAGGTATTTTATTTTCTTTGTGGAACAAAGTTTCAAAAGAATTTGAAACAACTAAAAGAAAAAAGTATCTTTAACATTCATAACAAAAAAGTAAACTATCAAATATAATAGTAGAAAAGGATTCTTATCATCTTTATCTTTGCGTATCAGGAGTTTGATCAAGAATGATTACCATGGGGAGATGAAGAGAAGTTGGTCAATGCATACAAAAATACAGTTAAAAGGAATTTTTAAAAAAAATAATTATCATATAAACTAACCAAAAGTGAGTTTGCCTTGAACTTTTTTCTTTAAATATTATTCTTACTGGTTAGCATGACACTGCTTAGAAACTATCAACC